TCAACATCAGAACATTCTACGACGAACTATTCGAGCGGGATGAGCAAAATACGAAATGGAATTTTCTGATTGGTCTAAGCAATCGAAATTGTTTTAAACTAAATGAAAATTAAATTTATGTTTTTGAGAGTGTGTACAAGTTGGAAGAAAGATTTTTAAAATTTCAAACTGTTTACTTACTAAAATCTAAAAAGTTGAAGAAATGATTATGCAACTCTTCATAGCGAATCAACATTTCTTTTCTACCGAAATCAGTAATTTTAAAGTTCATAGGAAATACTATTTTATTCCACTTATTTTTAAGTAAAAATAATGCTCCATTGCCGTCTAATTACATAATTAAAGTCAGTCGCAGATTGGATAGAAATAGTATACATTTAGATATAGGCTTTTATTATTCAGTATTGCCTTAATACAAATGAGTGTTTTCAGAAATTTAGTCTACTGAAAAATATCTATTCATCATTACAATTCAGGTAATGTAATTTAATTATGACATTTTTTTACTAGAGTTGAAGGATTTTCTTTTTAAGTAAATATTTACTAATGCAGTTTATTTTTTTTTACTGTGTAATAAATATTTAAATACACATTAACTCTCATATATATTCTCAATTTTATTCTTTGAGTAAATATGTACGAATTTCTCTATAATTTTAATTCCTCCTTCTGCATTACAGTATTTATAAAGTATGGATATTGCTAATTTTTTTCTTATTTCTGCAACACATGGTTTAAAGAAAGGAAAAAAAAACAAAATTATTTTGTATTCGTAAGGTATCATTTTGATAAGTAATATCAGACATCCATAACTCATTCCTTTTGTACTGAACCAAAAAATCTTAAATACTCAGAGCTAGAAAATTTCTTCAACTATTAACATGATGTAAATTATTTTCATTTCGATATACAACGCTACTACTCTGAATAACTTTTGAACTAAAAATCGGATTTTTACATTCTATGACTTAATCTGTGGCTCGAGGGGGTGACTTTAAAGATGCTAAAAAAATAAGTGCATACGATATTTAAAGTTAAGAAATCAGACACAAAAACGTACTTTCTCTAAATAAACATACCTTTCTTTCAACGGATTCGGATTTCTGACTCCCTACATAAAGAGGATAGCTGCAATCTGGGAAATATGCTCCCAATAGTTTCGTCAGGAACAGAAATTGTTTTACACACAATTATAAAATCTGTTTATCCACAGATAATTACATGTAAAAAATAATTTATAGTAAATATTTATTATTTTATTTAGGAAGGTTTGAAAACATTTTGAATTCTAAGGTAACATTTCTTTTGCATCATTTTAAAAAACGTAATTTTATTAAGTAAAATACAAAATTTGAGCAAAGTTGGTTGAATAGTTCCTGAGAAATCGAACTTCAAAGCAGTCAAATAATTAAAATTCAATTTCTCCGGAACAATTCCTGACCGATTTCGCTCAAATTTTGTAATTTGCTATATAAAATTGCTCTCTTTAAAATAATACAAAAAATTGTATACTACACAACTCAAAATTTTCTCACCCATTTTTCAATAAAAAAAATTTTTTTTTACAAAAAGTTATTTTTTTTTTGTATAAAATTATCTTTGGATAAACAAATTTTATAATTGTGAACAAACCTTTTTCAATTCGCTCAAAAAGGTCCAAGTATAGCGAAAAACGCAACAAGTACAATAACCAGGGATGAGATTAGCCAAAAGACAAAAAACCTGAATTTCCACGATATTAAATTTTACGCAAGCGCAACCCTTTAATAATAAATTCCAGACAGTTTAAGGTAATAAATAATGTGTTGACATACAATTGTGTACTAATCTATTATTATATAAATGATTACATTGATACTTAACATTTAGTGAAAATAAAAATTACCAATTGAAAAAATAAAGCTGGAAATTATATTTTTCCTCAGTTCACATAAGAGACAATTATTACTTGAAAAACTACCTGGTTTAGCAAATTAAAACTACTGAGAATATACATTAATATTTCATTTCTTTTAATAAATACTGTTATGTGATTTATAGCAAATATATCAGTAATATTACTTTTTAAATTATATTGGAAAAAAAAAACTTTAACAATGGACCGAATCATTATGTTCATATTATAGTCTAATCTAACTAGAGCCCTCTGAAACATATCAATAACAGTGAAGTAGAAATATATAGTAACTCCTTAACATACAAAAATTGCTATTTTAGTTTGAAAAATTACATGACAATCAGCAACTGTTTAGATAATTGTTTTTTATTTGATAAGAATTTTGCATTTTATAGCATAAATAACAGCAATTATAAATAAAATTTTGATGATGAGTTAATTAACTCTTTTTCCCCAAAAATTTTTTTTTATTAAATCCCTTTTTAAGTGATTGCTTTTGTTTGCTATATCTTTTATGTTTGCTATATTTAGTCGTTAGTCCATCTTCAAACATCTTGTGACAAATCCTATTTTTTCTTCTTTGCAAGCACAGAATGTAAGTTTTGAATATATTCCCTTCCAGTTTCTCTGATGTTGTAACACTTACATATACTAATAATCGTCGTTAGAAAAACAGTCACCTTTATAGTAACTAATTTAAAAAAAATTTACTTCTTACAAGAATCGCGATAGTTGATCTTAAAATTGCGTGAATATGAATAACAATTATGGATTTTGAAATCACATGAATATGAAACTAGATATACGATTTTGAAAATGAGAAAATACAAACTGGGATATAGAATTTTTAAAACGCGTAAATACAAATCACGATTCATAATTTTTAGATTGCGTAAATACGAATCATGATGCGTAATTTTTAGATTGCATAAATAAGAATTATGATGCATAATTTTTAGAATGCGTGAATGCGAATCCCAATGCCTTATTTTAAAATCACGTATAAATACGAAAATCAATGTTTGATATTATAAACCGCATGAGCAAATCAAGACATTGAATTTTAAACTTGCGTGAATACGAATCGCTACATAGGTTTTTAAAAAGGCGTAAATACGAATCACAATATCGGATTTTTAAATCTCGTAAATAAGAATCGCAACGTACAATATTCAAATCGCGTGAATAAGAATCGCAACACGCAAATATGAAAAGCTATGTTTGATATTAAAATCGTGTGAATAAGAATCGAGATATTAGCAGATTCCAGGCTTGGGACCTCTAAAAGGCTTGTCAGAAGCAGCGTCGTTTGAACTACGAAAATCGGATCTATCTGGAGGGCGGGTAAAAAATTCGGAAAATCTTATCTGCTGCGTGTAAAAGGGGAGAAAATAGCTAAAATAAGTAAAAATGAGAAAGGATTGGTAGCTATGTAGTTTGAATTTTCTGTTTCTCTTTGAAAATCGGTGAATTTTCTGAAAAAGCGGAATACTTAATAAAAAAAGTGAAATTTTTAGAAAATCTGAATTTTTGATAAAAAAGCTGAAATTCAAGAGATAAAAGTGAAAAAAGCGGAAAAATCTCATCCCTGAATAACATAAAGAAGTCCAAACTTTGGAGCGCTCTCCTGACCAATCTATTGGGACCATATTTTGGTGGTCAGAAATCCAGAATCCGTTGAAAAGAAATACAGAAAAAATTCGTTTTTACGTCTGATTTTGTAACTAAGAAATCCGTTCATTAGTTCAAAAGCAGTTCAGGGTGGTCCTTTTTTTTTTTTTTTGCACTCAGTACAGTTTCTTTTCAATACAATTCAGACTGAAAGCTTTGCAACGCACGCAGGGTAATGCTAGTATTTTTATAAAAATTAACGATGTCAATTATATGCTTAATGCCTAAAAGTCAAAAATAATTACGAATGTTTTTCTTTTTTTAAATATTGAGTAATACTATAAACTTATGATGATGAAAATTTTTCTGCGAATGGCTTTCACCAGCTTGTGCATATTATGCACAGTACAATTGTTGCAACAGTGTTGATGAAGTAAGAGGAACATTATTATCAGATGTCTTAAGCGTTCATTTGCAAGTGTATGCCTTTCAACAAGCATAAGGTTTTTAGGTCTTACCCAATATCAAAAAATTTCTTTTTTTCTCTCTGCATTAGGAACCATTTATTCAGGGCAAAAGAGAATAGAAGGGCTGGTTCCTTTGAAGAAACTCTCGCCGCACCAAACCTCCGATTTTCTCCAGTGAGTTCTGGATGGTTCACCAAAGCAGTAAAGAGTTGCATTTTTATAAACCTCACAATAGCACTATTTATTTAGAACAAAATCGGGGGTAACGGGTAATTCTTTTAAAAATTTCGTATTTTTTGTAAGTTTTTAACATTTTTTTTTTTTTAATACAAAAATATTGCAGAAAATTTCTGANAAAAAAAAAACCATTACGAGCAATATTTCAATTAATTGACAACTTTTGAAAAGTGATTTGTTTTTTTGCTCGACAAATTCTTATAATTTAAGGCTTTTACGAAGAATGAAGATGGAGAAGTAAAATTTTGAAAAAATTCAGGAGTGCGAGCGAAGAGGCAGTGCTATTTAATTATAGAAAACTTTTTATTTAATGCCCAATCAAAATTTTGAAAGCCCCCAGGCATGTCAGACAGCACATTTTCAGCACACTGTTATATGTGTCCACCAGATCTTTTGTTAGCATATGATGGTTTATATTTAAATCATATATTTATGTACTAAGTTTTTTTCAAACTTCTTTTTTTTACATTTCTTAAATGTATAAGATATGCATTTTAAAATATTTATACCAATAAATCAATGAATTTTTTAACATAGGGTTTCTGGAGTGATAATTTTTGACGTACGTATATCACTATGCATTCGTGCGAACTGCTCAGTTGTTGTACAGTACTTTTATAAGCTACAAGTTTCCTCCTTTTGAGTTTACCCCGTTCAGTGTTTTTTTTTTTATTTATAGTTTTTTGTGTGCAACTGTCCTATTATAAATGCTTGCATTTAAAAGCAGGAAAATATGTTAAAAATCTTATATATAAAACAAATAACTTTTACCTAAATATAAAACATACCTGAAAAAATAATATGTTCAATGCTTTCAGAATAGGATGAAATAAAAATCAGAATTTCCAATTTTGAAGTTCCTAAGAGAGAATAAATATCAATTACTGATTTTCAACAAAGAAATTCAGAGTTAATAATTTATAAAATACATGTAACTTTTAAGCAAATATTAATTTAAAACGAGACTGAACTTTTCAATTCAGTTTTAAATATAGTATTTCCTAATGATTGACATGCAAAAACAACAAGTGTAAAATTTAACATATTCTACAAATAGTCGATCGTATGGCAGTGACAAGAAAAATTAAGTCAAAAATATCTAATTTTTTTTTTGTGATATGGTAGAAGTATTACGGAAAAAAGAAAAACAACACAGTGAGGTTCAATATTAAAATTTTTTTTTATTATTAAGGACAGAGAATGATAACATGGTGAGTGAATAATCATTTTAGTTACAAATATGTTTAGAATGTTAATTTTAATGAATACATTTAAACATATGTCAGTTCATTATTGATTTTCAATTTAACAAAGAGAAACAAAAATATCTTTCTAACTAGTTTTTAAAAACATAAGAATCACAAAAGGTCATTTTCTCATTGTGAGTTAATGAGAAAATAAACATTGTTTGCTTCCGAAGTTAATACATATAAATAAGTTAAAATAATAATAAGTTAAAATAATAAATAAGTTAAAATATAATATTCTTAGACTATCCCATAAGAGAAAACTAAAACAATTATTAACACATTTTTAGAAAGAAAATAAATTAACTTCATAGATTACAAAAGTGTCATTCGATCACAGTGAGGGAATGCTAAATCAAAGAATGAGAAGATAAGACTTGATTTTGAAGATTATTCCCATAAATAAAAATAACAATATATATTCTTTAACTATTCCATTAGATGAAATAAAAACACTAATTTTAAAGGATATAAGTTGAACAAGAGAAATATTAGTATTTCAGTGAGTAGTAATGTTTTTCGTACAGTATGTCATAACCTAAATGAAACATAACCTCTGAAAAACAAGGAAATTGCACCATCGAAGGAAGAGCAATTGCTAGTACAATATTTACGAGCTCAGATAGATGCTGATGGTTTTATTGGCATACAGCAGTTGTCCGTACATGTGATTCAACAGCCTTTCTGCAATGAGTTTTTTTAGGGACAGCCTGATTTCCAATGGACTTGAGACCTTCCGAAATCTTGACTATTTTCTATGAAGATCTTTAAAAAATGTTGGGTACACAGTTTACCTGACATCTATTGTGGATCTGAAGACGAAAATTGAACAACAATTTCTCTGAAATGTTGATTCATCTCATCGATAATCTTGTTAAACACGGCTAATTTGCCAATTGGTAGATCACAAGAACTGAATATTTCTTGTTATTTTAAGCATTTCTTTTCCCTTTGTCCCCCGTGGCAGAAACACGGCGACACAGCGACATTGTCGCAGAAAGCGACTGAGTTCTTGCAGAAAGATTTTTTTTATTTGGGAAATAAAAATTTTTGGTTTGCCACAAGCAAAAGTTCTCAAAATAAATTCTGCAGAAACAGAAGCTGTTTTACCAACAAAAAAAAAACATTTTCTTCAGAAACAAAAAATTTCTGCAGAAGCAATAATGGTTCTGCAAAATTTTTTTCTTACAGAATTGTTTTAAATATTTTTTTTCTCTAGCGTACCGCGGAAGGAGAAAGCGCTCGTAATTCTCCGTTAATCTCCAACACAAACAGTTACTGGATAAAAAGGGGAGAATTTTTTTC